CCGGGCTGCACCCCGAGGGCAGGGCTCCGTGATTGCCGCCTCTGCGGTGTCCTGTGGGGACTGCCCCCATTGGAGAGGCGTGAGGCCCGTTAGCAAGCGTAGATACTGCCAAGTCCTAATACACTTGGTCAGCTTGCTAATCTGAATGATTCAGAAAATCATAACCAAGAAATGGAAGTTACACAGCAGCTACCAGCGCTGCTAAAACTCAGCGAAAGACAGCGAGCCAAGTAGATACTGGAACCGGAATGAGAGGAGGGGAGAAATGGGCAGGGAGGGCCTTCAGCTCCTGCAGGAAGTGGCCCGGCACCACGCGACGGAAGGACAGCTGCAGCTAAGCGTGCCGTTTTATTTTCGTTGGGTGTGAGCGTTACAGCCTGTAGTCCAGAGCCGCGATAAAATTTATAGGCATGGACTTTGTTTTTTCACAGAGCGCATTCCTGAGGAATCATTTATAAAACCTGCTTTTTCTCTAGGCTGTCAACTCTCAGAAAAACTGAGCTTCAAAAAAGAGTCTTTTAACTTTTCCCAAACAGAATCTTACACAATCCAAACCTTATAAAAATAAACACCCTGGCCTAGGATTTACACTCAGGGATGGCTTGTCCTGGAGATTGTGTGCTCAGAGAACATTTTGTAAGAGCAGAAACATGAAGACGCTGCTCGGAGTCCTTACAGATGTCTGTCTGTCTGTCTTTCTGTGCTGCTCCATGCCCTGTGTGATTCATACTAATTCAACAGTGTTCCAGGGTGATCACCTTGGTACAAAATGCTATGGCCATTTTCCAGAGCTACGCTTTTGTCCAAGTACCTCTAACCTTTCAGTAAGTTCCTAGTAACTCAGACATAAGATCCTAGGCTCTTGTGTCTTCACGTCGCTGTTTGCTCCCTTCTCTCTTTAAGGTGCTTGGCCTCACGGTTATGACCTGCCTTTCCTCTCGCTCTGCCTTAAAGTGGAAGTGCTTGCTTTCTTGTCACTGTTTGAAGTGGGAATGTGTGGGACGCCCCCCAGGTCGAGTGTTCTGTTGAAGAGCAGGGTAGGTCCCAATCCTAGTAACTGAACCCTGAGTGTCGACACTGTGAGCCACGAGGCAGGGGTTTCTCCCCACGCAGACTCCACTTGAGCTGTGCCCAGAGCCATGACTCTGTTCATTGTCATTAGTTCTTGCCAGATTAGAAACAGCTGTATATCTATAGTGCATAGTACTTGTCAAGTTACTTTCTCATATCCTTTTTATAGGTGAGGAAAGGAAGTCTTGGAGATACTAAATAACTTTGAGGAAAGGAAGTCTTAGAGATACTAAATAACTTTGAGGAAAGGAAGTCTTGGAGATACTAAACAACTTTGAGTCTTGGAGGTAATAAATAAATTAACTAAGTTCACTTAACTAGAACACTGACTCTCAGATTTCAAAACTATCAGATGAGCAAAATGACGTCTGAGAAAACTGCACTAGTTCTGTTTTTGAGAAATATTTTGTTCTAATTAGTGAGATTTTGAATACTGTATTCTAAAGACAAACAGAACTTGCTGCCTCCGAGAGGCTATGTTCAACAGCTGATTCAAAAATCATTGGTAGAAGTTTAAAATGAACAAGAAGGGAATCTCCGTGAGGCGTTCTCAGCTCTTAACTTAATCTGGCATCCCAGACTTGTGCTTGTTTTCTCCTGAGGAGAGAAGTGAGAGGCAGGAAACGGGGAGGAAGAGGGGGGAGCAAGGAAGTGTACTGACAGGCCTCCCTAACATTCCCGTTTTTTTTGTATGCACCTTGTTTTCAGATTTTCATTCTATTTTTGTGACTTAGTGTGTATCTTACGGATAAACTTTTCTACATTTGGGGTGCTTTTCATAGAGTAAAACTTAGGCCACAAGGCTTGTAGAATAAGCCCACGTATAGGAGGGCTAAAAGTCTAATGCTGTTTTGTTAACTTTAGAGTTAATAACATAAGCATAGCACCAAGTTGATGTTAGTATAGATACTGATTTTGATATTGCCAGAAATACTGATCAGTAAACAATACTGGTCTTTTTTTTTCTTTTTAATATATCTTTATTGATTTCAGAGAGAGGAAGAGAGAGGGAGAGAGAGAGAGAAACATCAATGATGAGAGAGTCATTGATCAGCTGCCTCCTGCACGCCCCCGACTGGGGATCGAGCCTGCAACCTGGGCATGTGGCCTGACCGGGAATCGAACCCCGATGGCCTGAATCCTAGGTTGACGCTCAACCACTGAGCCATGCCCGGCCGGGCGCAATACTGGTCTTAGTTAAACTAGGGCAATAGCTAGCACCAATCAGAATTACAATTTTGTCCCAGAATATTTCAGATGCAAAAGCAAAAGTCTATTGCAGTAACTAACATTCAGGAGGCACCCGAAGTAGTACTGATTTAAATAACTTAAATAATGATGTATCTTGATGCTATCATCCCTCCAAAACACCTTTTTTTCCAAGGAGTAAGTAACATTTGACTGGTAAGATTTGACCTAAATAAATCAGAGTATTGGTAGTCATTGGGAACTATCCCCTCTATTTATCACTGAAGATTGACAAAGTAGAAGCAGTATTTTGTTTACTTCCTTTTAATTATGACTAGTAAAAGAACAGCATGCCCAGAAGAGGAAAACACATACTTAACATTCTCATTTGCTTCTGGATTAGGAGTGAACTTTTTCAAGAATGGCCTGCAAAAGCTTTATATGGCTTTGTTGGCCATACGAAATGGTAGAAACAGTAGCTGCAGGAATCACTACAACCCTTCAGTCTGCTCCATAAGCAGATGAAGAGCCATTAATTTTGGATTTTGGATGATTGCCAATGACCTTAATTTTTATACTTGAGCTTTGGTGAATGGCCACACCATCCAACCTACAAAACACATTGAAACCTTTGAAATGAACTGTTTCTGCCTCTTGTGGAAACGCGCCTCCCCCTGGGAGTTTTCACTCTCTTCATGGTCCCTAGGTAACATCCAGTTGCATTGAAAGACATTGTTTTTGAAACTAATTTTCCTTCTGTTTCTAATTGCTGGTTACTTAGTAAACTAATATGCTAATTAGCTGATAAAAAAATTCCTTATTTTAGAGTTAGCTTTCATGCCTTTTTCATGGGAGGAGAGAAAAATAGCTTAGAGAGCTAATGTGGTAGAGTGGGAAGAACACAGGCTGTGGGACCCATCAGAAAAATGAAGATGTCGGTTACAAAGAACCGCCTGCACCACTAATTATTGATATGACTTTCAGCACATCGTCTAAGTTTTCCGAGGCATAGTACAATGGTGATAATAGCCATTCCTCCAGCTTCACAGGGTTAAGTGAGGACAGTGCCTATGAAAATCTTTGAAAGCTGTTCTAAACTAATATTTGGGATTTCCAGATTCTAATGCCTTTTTTAAAAATTGAATTTTAGAGAGAGGAACATCAATTGGTTGCCTCCTGTGCTAGCCCTGACCAGGGATCAAACCTGAAACCTAGGTTTGTGCCCTAATGGACAAAGACACAACCTTTTTTGGTATACGGGACAGCACTCCAACCAACCGAGTCACCTGGCCATGGCTCTATTGCCTTTTTTTAAAGACACCTTTTATAAGATAAAGCTTGCATATCTCATTATAGATAGCAAGCCTCTCTTATAAATTTCGAAGTTGCTAAGAAATTAGATGAAATGATAATTATGTAGTATCCTAGAGGTGTTAGTTAATGCTACAGTGATAATTATAATGCAATATATAAATTATCAAATCAACACCTTAAACTTAGGCCATGTTATATTCAATTATGTCTCAATAACAATATATTTTTTAACATTCATGTACCAGACATTTCACCCATTTAAAGTGTACAATTCAATGGGTTTTAGCATAGTCACAAATATATACAACCATTAACAGTCAGTTTTAGAATATCTTTATTATCTAAACACAAAACCTGCGCATCCCTTAGTTACCACTTCCCTAATCACCCTCCATTACCTTTTTGATTTTTACTTTGTGTTTATTTACAGAGACTATGGGATAAATTTTTAAAATTAAATTAAGTAAAAATAAGATTACTTGTGAATGACATTAAAATACTGTTTCCTGGGAAGAGTGTCTCTTAGGGCTTTTTAGTTAATGCTCTAAGTGCATTGGTAGGATGAGGGCCAGCAAGCTAAGTGTTAATAAAGGATATTACGGGGAAGATTACCATTCCCAGTCCAGTTCTATTTTAAGAAGCAGAAGACATGAGTACTCACTGTTGTTACTGAAGTCCCGGTGCCTCGAGCAGCTCACTCCAGTGGGAATAATTTGTGGGAAGACTGGAGGGACTGTGGGCTGGTGTTTGTGCCCAGAAGGTGGATGGGAACTTTCTCCTTTACTCAGAAGCACGAGGTTCCAGATCCAAGGAAATCCGTATTGTCAGGAAGCTGATTTTACTTTCCCTTAACTTTCTAAACGTGAGTTTTTCATTCAGCAGAGCGACGGAGCGAGGAAGGGAGGGAAGGAGATGGGGGACAGAGTTACACCCGAAGGCCCTCTCCTTCCTGAACATCTCCAACATTAAGTGGAGCTGTTGGGGCACAGTCACAACCTGTGTGTGGCGTCAACTGGGAAATCGGAACTCAACCTCTGCCTTGTTTTTGTTCCAGGTCGCCAGATCCCACCCTTGGACCCCCAAGAAAATGGAAACAATGGAGCAATCAAACTTGGGAAGCAAACCATGGCAGTCAGCCGGCGGTGCTGCTGACGGGCCCGCGGCCCGCTGTACTTGAAGACGCCGGAGCCCCCCCGTGCGCTGCCCAAGGACTCCATTCTCGGTGGCCGGGCACCTCGCCTGGAGGGAAGTGAGCACGCTGGCTCGGCATCCTGGAAGACCTGCAGGGAATGGCACAGGAAATGTCCCTGGAAAAGGCTTTGAGAAACCTCTAGAAAAACCCACCACCTTTCATGCATGAAATGCGCACAGGAGAGAACGGATGTTAGATACTAAGCACAGTTGAGGTTTTGTTAAAACCCTTAAAATAGTCTCAATTTGTTCAGAAATCTTACTGGCTTCTTATGTGTGTAAGATTCTAAAAGTGGTGTTCTGCTCTGACGTCCTGTGTTCCTTGGCCAAATTCTAGTAAGTTCTTCAGTGCCATTGCCTTTGTTACCTGACCAGCCTTCACTGAAAGACTAACTTAATTTTATTTAATTTACCTTTCAGTGGAGTGTAATTGGATCATCACTCAAGCTGTAGACTTGAGCTGTTGTCAAAGTGGAGAAAGATGTATCAGAAGCTGTTGTCTACATCTCTGATTTTTACTTGATGAACGTTTTTCTAAGTTTGGGTCATATATAAACAAGCAAATCAACTCTGACTAAAATATTTTATGTAATTTTGGGATTGGGAGGCCTGGTTTGGAAGAGTCTTTCAAGTACTTCCTATATAAGCAGTGACAGGTGTGGGATGTAAATATTACCCCAGAGACCACTTGGGATGATGCATCACCTCCACGGCAATAAATTCTTCCTCTCTTAGAGAGGTTTAACACACAGAGTATTATTTTACTAATGAATATGACATGGCATCATATCTAGGGGGAAAAATTAACTGGAGGATGTTTGAGTCTATATTGTAGGGCAGACTTTTAATAATAGCAATTAATAGCAGGTTACTGGAAAGCCAGCCTAGGGAAGTACCAGCACCTTAAGGTTCTAGAACCCAATTGCAAAATTAGAGAAGGCATTTTAGAAGATGCTAAGCTTGGAGAAGTAGGTATTAGGGCTTAAGAGGGATCCAACTCTGGAATGCCAATTAACTTGAGCGTAGGCTTTGATAAAAAGTTTCCTTTTCAGGTTCCCTGTCTGCTCAATTAATTAAAGATGTCTGAATGCAAATGCAGTAAACAGAGAAAAGACATGAAGAGGAAGAAAAGCTATTTCCATTCCAAATTCAAATTCTGTTCCCATTCTAACTTTCATAATCACCTGGGATCTAGAAGCAGTTGGTTTCCTATTAGGGCTTATACTGGGAGGTGACTATTAAAGGATATTCAGATCAGGGCCTTTGATGGGAGCTAAGAAGCTGCAAAACAATAGCCTCAGAAATAGTTAATTGTGCAGTGTGGTCCATGAACATTCAAGGGCCAGCAAACATTTATTGAAAACCTACAATGTAAAAGCCAGGAGAGAGGTCATGAGCTGATTAAAGACCCCAAACTTTGAGTAACTCAGTGTGAACTGCCGCTTCACAGTCCTGTCACGTCTGTGTGCTCTGTGCCCTGATGCACAGAGACACCGAGTACCGCCATTGACAAAAAAGAAGAGTCCTTGAGAGACCAGGGTCCCTTCTTTATGTGGATGGTAAATGGGTGGAGATCACAGATTAAGGGTTTTTTAACTCAAGAATATGCCATCTATTTGATGTTCTTCACCCAGCTTGCAAGAGTAGTTTGACAGTCTTAGCATGTGGAGGCTGTAAATACTTATTTTTTGGTTTAAAAGTGCCTCTTAGTTCTCCCAGACAGGTGCCTCAAAAAACGTTAGCAAGTGGCATTTGGATGACTTGGCAGGTTTTCTCCACATTGTCAATATCGTTGTTTAACATGATTCTGCTGCTGCTTGCAGGCCGAGCAATGATCATGCTGTTTCCAAAGTTAAAAACTTGGGAATGAAAATGGAAATGCCCTCTTTCCAGTTGCATGCAGACTGCTTTTGGAACCTTCCCTCATTCATCTGTCCCCGGCCTCCTGGGTTTATCTCTAGAGAGCCTCTCGGCTTGCCTGGCTTTGGTACGGTCCCGGCGGAGTTCCGCAGATTTGGGCTGGGCCTCTCGTGGTTGCATTTTTGCATAAAATGGCTGGTATTATCCTCATGTAGCAAGCTGCCCACGAACGAGGCCACGGTTCTGTTTCAGAAGCACATGAGGGCGTGAAGCCACTCTCTTACCTTTCTGAACTGCCTTAACTATTCAATCCAGTCAGATGACAACATATATATAATTATTACTTGGAGTCATTGGCGCAGAAAGTAGTGGCATTTGGGCACAGGAGCCTTTGCATAAACACGGAGCTGCCTCTGAAGGTAGATGCTCGAGCCTTGTCCAGGCTTTCTTATCTACCTTTATTCTGCCTTGAGATTACTTTCTGGCTGTTCTAATCATTGAACTGTAACCAAGTAATATTTTGTAAAGGCCTGGAAATTACCATTGCTCCAAAATGACACGTAACTTCATGTGATGTACTATCCTTCACATAATTTTCCCAAATGTGCTCCTTTTTCTAGGTTTTTTTTCTCTCCTTCCATGTGTGGTACAATGTGTATATGTGTAAATATGATTCATATTTGTTACGCCAACATGTAACCCATTTCACTGGCTGAGTTTGGCTCACGACCGTGTTATATAATGTAGGCACGGGTTCTCGCCGGGCTTGCTTCCCAGTGGAAAGCCCTAAGGTGGCAGTGCAGTCGTGCAAGCATTTGATGTAGGTACATAATTGACTTGCCATTTCGTGCTCGAAAATGGCACACTCGGGTGCTGAATATGACGTTACCTTGTAGCTATAGAAGGTTGAAGACTTCAAAACTAACCCTGAGCCAACAAAAGGGCTGCTCCCCGATGAGAACTGAATGCATTTTCTGAGCAAGGTTTGGATGACTGAAATACTTTCTCTAAGATTAAGAGCGTGGCATGTGTTGGTTGCATTGAGCTCCTTGTAGGAGACTCCACTTCTCGTCGCTCTGCAGTGCGAGCAGGGAGTTGAATGAGCCAGCTTACAAACAGAGGGGCTCTGAGCTGTATTCAGACCTGTTAGGTATCTAGTTTGTTCTTTCAATCAGCATTGTTGAAACCAGACCCAGTGATCCAGTTCAGTGCTCTGTTGTGTAAACCGCTCCTTTTTCTCATGTTTTTATAAAGGGATTCTGTCTGGGCTGGACCCAGTTCTCACATATAGAAGACACCGCTGTAGATAGTTAGGACCTTTCCACCTTGTATTCATTCTATAGTAAAGCATCGCCCTCAGCGTTGCCCAATTGTATCTGTTATTTTTGGTTTAACAACACTGATTCATACTAATAAATATTTTAAGTTTTACCATGTTTTTCTTTTTTTATTATAATGTTTAGTAGGATGATTTTTAAAAATTACAGTCACCTCAGCATAAAGAGTGGTGATTCCCAGAAAAACCTGTGTATCTCTACACATGAAGACACACGTAAAGACGTTCACTGGCACTGTGCAATAGCAAAACATCTTCCCTAAGGAAATTGGTAAATAAAATGTGGCACAGCTACATGATAAAAACAAAAGGGTAATTTAAATGAATGCAAAAGCTATCATGCGTCAACATGTCTCTGAAAACAGAATGTGAGCTCTGGCCGGGTAGCTGAGTTGGTTAGAGCATCATCCTGAAACTCCAAGGTTGTGGGTTCAATCCTCAGTAGGGCACATACAAGAATCAACCAATGAATACATAAGTGGAACAAAAAAGCAATCTCTCTCTTTCTCCCTTTCTCTAAAATCAATAAAAATTAAAAAAAAACAAAAACAAAACACACACCACACAACAATGTGGCGTTCAGGGCTGTCATACTGCATACCCTAAGGGAGCCACTCGCAGTGTTTTGTGTGGCTGGAGCCCTCGGGCTGTGCAGTGCACTTAAGCACGCTGAAGTACAAAGCACCTAAACTTACACTAAACAATAATATATGTTGTTTATAAATGTGTACAAAAATAAAGGAAGAATTAGAACAACATCAGCTTCATGATGGCGCTTGCTTACCTCTGGGGAGGGAGTGGAGTAAACAGGATCAGGGAAGAGAACACGGGGCATTTAACTATCAGTAATTTTTATTTATTTCTGCTATAAAAATCTGAAGGCAATAGGACAAAATGACAGCATTTGGTAATTTCAAAGTATGGGTTTCCTTAGTCTGCGTATTTTGCTGTATTAACTTTTTCAGAGAGAGAGACGGTAGGCTAGAAAGATTCCGTAAGTGTCACTGCCAACCTCATGCTCAGTACACGTTGTGAGGGTTACTCTCGCCCACCCTTCCTCTGGGCCACCCACACCTGTCGCCGACGCACACCCTTTCTCCCAAGCGCCGAGTCAGGCTTTCTCTACGCAGAGCTTCGTTTGGTGCCTGGATGAATGTGGGGGACGGATGTGCAGAGGGCGAGCAGTGCTGTGTCCTCAGCATTGGAGTCACTCCCCAGGGCGTACCCTGGGAAGCTGCTTTTCATGTAAAAGCAAACAAGAAAAAAAACCCAACCCCACCATCACCTAGAGACCCAGTGTTCTGATACAGTAAGAAAACAAGCCATTCTTTTGCATTTCCTAAGGGTGGTTACTGGGGAATTGGGGGAATGACTTCCTATTCAGGTAAGGATGGTTCCGAAGCAAGGCCTGCTGCTTAAGGGAGGAGGGAGACCTCATCCTGCACCCGGGAGCGTCCGTCTCCAACGTTCTGAGATACTGCAGCAGCATGTAGTTCAGTGGCTTCCCGTACAGATGTGAGGCTATCTTCCCCCCCTTTCCAGTGTCCATTAAAACCAAACAGATAATAGCAAGCGAGAGCAGTTATACTGAAAGTGGGTATTCTCATGCATGCTGCTCAGAGCATAAATTGGTACACACTTTATAGAAAGTGACGTGGTAGCTGGCTTGCATGGGTTTAATTAATAAGTGATATGCACACACTAAGGTATTTGTCCCAGTGCCATTTATAGTGATAAAACTTGGAATAATTTAAATGTCCTATGCTATGAAATTAAATAAGTTATAGTACATTCCTAAAGTAGAATATTATGATCATTAAAAATTACAGTATTAGAAATAAGTGTTACTGGCCACAAAACTCAAAGGTACAAAAATACACCTCTTCCTATTTTCTGGAACAATTTAATTTCTACCTCGAGCCCCATTCTGTCTAAGGCAGAAAGCTGAATTTTGCCATACCTAGTTTTACCCAAACTGGGGCACTTCTGAGAGTGAAGGGGATGCTATTAACATTAAGCTGGGACAACAGGAGAAAATTGGATAGTCGCAGGCAAACTGGGACAGATGGTCGTTCTGGTCTAGCCTCCGACCCATCTAGCAAGGTGAGAAATGGTATTGGGGAGGTGGGACAGGAAATTTTGGAGTTCCTGGGTAAGTACCTTATCACAGCTCTCTTCATAACGTCATCCATCCACCCATCCATCCATCCATCCATCCATCCATCCATCCATCCATCCAGTATTTGTGGAGGGCTACTATGAGTCAGTGCTAAACTAGCCCTCCATGTTCCATCAGATGTGTGTAATTTCCAAACTTATGAGGAAATAAAGATAAGGGAAGAGACAAGAGAAACACGAATGACAGGAAGGAGGAGGAGATGTTCCTTCAAGGGCAGAAGGGGCAGCTTGACTGGGGAGGCACTGTGACCACCAGGGTAGGAATGGGGGCTTGGTAATCAGCTCACCCCTTACTCATCATAAGATCCTGAACAAGTTTCTTGGTTTCTCTGAGCCTCAATTTCCTCCTGTAAAACGGATAGTGCCCACGTCACAGCCTTGAAGTTGAGATAAAGTGAAATCATTGCGTAAAGCACTAGCACAGAGAACCCAGTGGCTATGATTATGCCACAGACTTCAACCTTTGCCCTGGACTTGGGCCGAGTTCTTTTTGCCTGTCCTTCTGTGGCCACTTTCTTGTTTTTATTTCTTTCCTTGGGAAACAATGTAGTGTAGAGATTAAGATAAAGAAATATTGCATCAGACCACTTGAGTTTGACTACAAACTCTGTAATTTGCTGGTGGTGGGATGTTTGGCAGATTAATCTCTCTAAGCCTCAGTTTCCTCCTATGTAAATGCAGAAAATAATGCATATGCACCCTTATCCATAATTCTGGAATTCAAAAAGCTTTATAAGTGAACAGATTTTTTTTCTAAGTTTCAAACAAAGTCGTTTGGCAGTAAAACAAGACTTGAACTGATGTGATGTTATTTATAGCCATTATTTATCCCACTAGGGGTGACTGCTGTATGTTCTGTAATAGATGCACTGTATTACTTTAATAAAATCCAAACAAAATTCTTAATCCTGAAAACATCTGCCCCTAAATTGTCTCGTAGGTATTGTGGGCTTGGAATATCTGCCTTGCGGGTGTGTCATGAGGATTGAATGAGAACACGCACAGGAAGAGGCCTTCCCGTTGGGGAGCTCCTGGAAACCACAGGGGGCGCTGTTTACATGGACGTCAATACTTGCCGTGTCTCCTGAGTGGGCTGCAGGGGTTTCACTCTGCAGAACACACTTCTTCACCTCCTGGATGGAGCAAATGCTCAAAAACAATAATAGCGAACACGAATACAGCCACTTGCTGTGTGCCAGGTACTGTCCTAGGTGTTCTACATCATATTACCTCTTTGTTATCACACTCCTCTGGATGAGGTAGATACTATTATCTCCTTTCTACAGATGAGAAAACAGAGGCACAGGAGGTTAAGTAAATTGCCCAAGACCATGGACTATTAAGAAAGATAAAATTAAAATGTTAGCTATGCCCTGGCTGGGTAGCTCACTTGGTTCGAGTGTCTTCCCAATACACCAAGGTTGCGGGTTCCACCCCCGGTCAGAGCACATACAGGAATGCATGAATGGGTGGAACAGCAAATTGATATTTAAAATGTACTGAGGTATAACTGACATATTAGTTTCAGGTGTATGACATAATGAATAGATATTTGTACATACTCCAAATGATCATCAATAAGTTTAGTTAACATCTGTCACCTCACACAGTTACATATTTTTTTCTTGTGATGAATACTTTTAAAATTTACTTAGCAACTATCAAATATGCAATACAATATTATTAACTATGGCCACCATGCTGCATGTTAGATTCCCAGGAATCAAGTATTTTATAACTGGAAGTACGTGCCTTTTGACCCCTTTTATCATTCTACCCCCCACCCCCCACCCCAACCACCTCTGGCAGCAACCTCCAATCTGTTCTGGCTTTTTTTAATCAATATATTTTGGAGCTCTTTCCATACATACCAGCACCTACAGATGTACTTTATTTTTTTTTAAGTGGCTAAATAATCATCATGATTATAATTAGCATTTACGGAACGTTTGCCACATGCCAGCACTGTTCTAAGTGCTTCCGTTTTCTCCTTTGTTTACTCTCATTCTAAGTACTGTAATATAAAGGACTGAAAATAAGGAAATTCTTGTTCATTGAATACTTCCCGTGAGCTACATACTTTCAGATTTTATCTCATTTTCTCCACAAAACAATCTGAGAAGGATGCACAATTATTCTCATTTGCATAGAAGGAGCTTGGAGAACCTAACTGACTTTCTCAAGTTTATAGTTAATAAGAAGGGCGACTCCACTTACCCGAGGCCCACGCTCTATCATTCCTGCATCTGACAAGGAAGTGTTGGCTGGGGAGCTAAGGGTTAACCAGCTCAGATGGAAAAGCTGAATCACTCCATTAACTAGATTTGCCGGTTTCACTGAACTATTATCTGATCCCAAACTGCTGGAGTGACTCTCCTGGACCCTGCTGCTCCCGCAGCTTGATTTCTCTTTCCCATAACCCTGACGTCCACGATGGCCCTATTGCTCAGCCCTGACTTAACTGGATTTTTGAAGTGACTTCTGCATCAGAGTCTGGCAATTTTGACTTCGTGGGACCTAAGGCCCTGAATTTGCTTCTGAGAACCCAGCTCCAGAAGCAGCATCCCCACGTGGGCCTGCGCGAACCGCGAGTGGCCAGCTCCCTCTGCTCTCCTTCACCTCGAGTTTTCTCTAGTTTCATACCTATCCTCTCCTTCCCTGGTCCTTCAGGAAAGGATCCCAACTCTCTTCTAAAGCATACGCCAGGCTTTTGTCTTTTCCCTTCCGTCTAAACATTCCACGCACACTGTTTCCCTTCTCATCAACTTCCATGTAGGCATACATTTTCTCTAGTTTTATTTTTTCCCCCCTTTTCCTTTACGCTAATGAAATTTTGAAAAGATGATCTTGATCTTCTACTTCTTTGGTCTTCCATTCACTTCTCACCGGCGTTTGGCCCCTATCTGTCATTGTGCTCTTCCA